AAAAAATATTTGAAAAAAGAAAAAAAATACATATAGAGGACCCATTTTGACACAATTTTCTGGGCTATAGTTTGCTGACCAGCAATTTAGCCTATTACATTCTAAATATAATGTTTTAAAGTTAGCATCAAAGTACCGTTTCTATACATATATTATGTTCCTTTCTTTCCCTCTGCATTTACAAAAAATTTTAGTATAGCCCTCAATATCAGAAATCAATCTACTAGTACCTAGAAAAACATGTTTTACATAAAATAAGGGCTCACAAGTTATGACTAATTAATTAAATAAAAGCAGTAGTCTCAAAAACATGAAGCTTGTCACTTATTATTATATAAATAAACCTGGCATTTCAATAATAAAGTAAGGTCATAATGTTATTCAATTACCCTCTAACACATTCAGAGGAAATTAGACTTTAAAGAAAAAGTCTAGCATTGTCTTAATAAACATTTTCACTTTTCTTATTTGCCAATCAAAAATCCTACTTTTGAAATTACACTGTAAATGACTTTAGTAGTTGCCTTGTGGCAAAAATATGTACAGATTGTCATATGAGAAAAGAAGACTGTCAATTTACTGAGTTAAATTAAATCATTCCCAAGCACACGAAAATGTTAAACATGATTCTGAAGACATAAGCCAAATATTTAAGTTCTTTTTAAATGCTGAGCACTGGATTTCTTTTTGCATTAGAATTTTTGGGAGTTTTTAAATAATAAAATATAAACATGATTTAAAGAAATTAAGACAAGGCATTCATAAAACCACTTTACGTTAAAATATTCTTTCTTAAAAATATTTTTTTATTTATTTTATTTTATTTTATTTTATTTTATTTTTGTTAATCATCACCCTAAGATATTTTACCATTGACTTTTTTTTTTTTAGGGAGAGTGGAAGAGAGAGGGAAAGACAAAGAGAAACATCGATGTGAGAGAAACACATTGATTGGTTGCCTCCTGCAGGCCGGGGAGAGCTTGCAACCAAGGTATGTGCCTTTGACCAGAATGGAACCCGTGACCATTTGGTCCACAGGCCTACAATATGCACTGAGCCAAACAGGCTAGGGCTATTTTTATTTACTTTAGAGAGGAAGAGAGAGAGATAGAAACAATAATAATAAGAGAGGATCATTGATGGGCTGCCTCCTGCATGCCTCCTACTGAGGATCAAGCTGGAAACCTGGGCATGTGCTCTGACCAGGAATTGAATCGTCACCTGCTGGTTCATAGGTTGTCGCTCAACCACTAAGCAACACTGGCCAGGCAATACAAATATTCTTTAGCCATTCAGTATAATCCATGGTAGCAAAAATACTGGGTGACAACAGGCCTAGTAATGAAGAGCATAAGCTTGGGGATCAGACATTGTTTCTATTACTCTTTCATCCCTTAGAGTTGTGTGGCCTTGAGTATCTTAAGCAATTTGGGCCTCAGTTTCCACAATTGAAACATGGAGTTAATATACTTCCTCAAAACAGAGTAGCAAATTTTTTAAAAACAATACTATAAAGCACCTAAATGCAGCTTTAATTTTGAAGCTGAAAGGCAAAATAAAGCTGAAATTTGTGATCTTGAGTTCCCCAAAAATGATAACCAGCAGTCTCCATTCCCTTTAACTAGTATAGCTTCATCTCCATCATGCCTGTTGATATCTACTTCACCAAAGATCCTCAGATGTTGTTGCATATTAGAATCACCTGAGCAGCATTTAAAACCTCTCCATGCCCTTGTCCCAGCCGAGCCAAAATCAGAATAGATAGGATTGTGAGAGTATGGTTATTAGTATTAAAGGTCCTCAGGTAATTCTCATGTTGAAACCTCAGCTAAGGCATTCAACTTCTAAGTAGTCAATAAATGTTAGCTACCAAGAACTCAGTTTACATAATCAGTGAATTTTAGAACCAGTAATATCCTATATAATAAAGAGGTACATGCAAATTAACCCTCACACCCTCACAAGATGGCTGCCTACGACCAGGCCGGCAGGGGGGTTAGTGAGGGACTACTAAATGACTGAACAAGCAGGCTGTGTGGGGTGACCAGGCCGGCAGGGGTGTTAGTGAGGGGCAACCTGAACAAGCAGGCTGCATGGGGCAACCAGGCTGGCAGGAGGGGTTAGTGAGGGACAACCAAACAACTGCACAGCAGGCTGCATGGGGCGACCAGGACGGTGGAAAGGCTGTGAGGGGCGACCAGGCTGGCGGGAGGGGCAGTTGAGGGCAACCAGGCTGGAAGAGGGGGGCAGTTGGGGGCAACCTGGCTGGCAGCGGGGGGCAGTTAGGGGCAACCAGGCCAGCATGCAGAGGCAGTGAGGGGCGATCAGGCAGGCAGACAGGTGAGTGATTAGGAGCCAGTGGTCCAGGATTGTGAGAGGGATGTCCGACTGCCGGTTTAGGCCCAACCCAGGGGATCGGGCCTAAACAGGCAGTCAGACATCCGCCAAGGGGTCCCAGATTGGAGAGGATGCAGACTGGGCTGAGGGGTAAACCACCTCCCCATGAACGAATTTCATGCAACAGGCCTCTAGTATCCACATAAAAGCTAAAGAAAGCAGCTGCTGCTAAATCACTCCTTAATGTTTATATCCACCACCTTCAATTAACTCCCTAAGTCCAAAGCTGAAAAATTATAAAGTAGTACACTTTTTTTTCTCACTGACCATTCTTGAAAATTTGTTTCAGAATCAAAACATTAAGGTCCCTTGCCCTGGCTGATGGTGCTCAATGGTTAGAGCATCAGTCTGTGCAACTGTGCACTGGAGGGTCAATTTCTGGTCAAGGGCACTTACCTGGGTTGCAGGTCCAATCCCTGACCTTGGTCCAGGCTTCTGTGGAGGCAACCAATTGGTATGTCCCAGTCACATAGATTGTTTTTCTCTCGCTCCTCTCTCTTTATCCCTCTACCCGCTCCATTCCACTCTCTCTAAAATCATTGGAAAAAATATCCTCACTTCTCGGGTATTAAAAAACAAACAAACAAAAAGACACATTAAGGTTCCTCAAAGCAAGGTCAACTGTATGTTGACATTTAAATTTCAAAGAGGTTTATTTTATTATTTTTAAGCATATCTACACGGGCAAGTAAAAAACACAAGCACTAGTAGCTCTAAAGCTAAGGTACCCAAGATGACTCTTTGAACTTTAAATGTATAATATTGTGTTTAGAAAAAGATTAATAGCAATTAATGCAATGAACTAGGCAACTAGTCCTGTTTTCCTTGGTATTGCCACTAATTTGCTAGGAGACTTTTGCAAAGTCACTCAGTGTCTCTGGGCTTCAGATTGTCATTTATAAAATATAGAGTTGCATTAAATTTCTTTAAAATGACCTGTTACAACAATGTAAGGCATGGAAAATTACAGAGAAATTCTATAAAGCAGTAATATACAAGATTAAGGATTAAACTAGCACTAGTCCTTGTAGGCTATTAGAGTAATGAGTCATGATTTAAGTAGTTTTATAGCAAGGAATTTACTTCTCAAACCTAATGATTTATTATAACATATTGACTGAGCTTGCTCCCTGCCACTTCCAAAATACCTATACCTAGGATATTATTTTTCACAGTTAAAACCTTTTAAATGTCTTGGGTTTTTAAGAAAACAACAAAAGCAATACTGAATGCTGAATATTCAATAAATACCATATAATAGGCACTTGGGATATGCCAAGGGACAAGATAGATAAGTAAAAGAAGACAAAATAGAGAAGTCATTTTTTGTTAATACTTTTCAGATACTGATAACTTTTCTGAATAGAATAATGTAAGATAAAATGATACAGTGGGGTGCTTTTAGATATATTGAAGCATTATTCCAGATGTCGCTCTTTAAATTAGGAGAGGGCAAAATTCCTTGAAAGTGTTTTCTTCATATTTGAGAAATTAGATAAAAGTTTTGTATATTCTTCTAAACAAAGAACTTATTAATTAAACCTTTAAATTCTCAAAAGTAAAATCTTAAGTATCTTAACTATACCCATGCTTATCACTAGAAAATTCTTACCATTCCTTCATCTCAGAGCCATCCGATCTCATCTATTTTACTCAAAAGTATTAATTGATTTCTGAACACCCATAAGTATATTTTGTGTAAGCGCATATGCTGGGTTCTTTTTTCAGTACTTTAACCTATCCATTTTCAAATCCACCAATTTAATGATATCTTATTTTATGGTTCCTTACTACATCTCAGTATTCCTGAAATATGTGTCACCTTCAATTTATATAACTCTGCAGCTCCATTGAGAGGCTCATGCTATGATTATTAATATCTTTCTATCAATGTATTTCTTTACCCATAGATCCTAATGTGAGAATATGTGGACGAATACATGATAATATCTAAACAACAGAGAAAAAAATGGTGAAAGAATAGAAATGGAAGTCAACAGTAGTACGGCTACTTGCAAAGGGAAGAAGATAAGTCTTTGGAACAAAATGAAAGAATTAATTCATGCACTACGTAAGCATTATGCTAAATATCTCTTCTATTAGTCATGTTGCTTTGAGACTTTCCCATGTTTCCTCTAGACAACTGCCAATGCTCGCATGGTCTCTGATGAATAAACATGCTGTGACTTGCTTCTGCGGAAACGTCTGTCATGCCCCAGGGAAAAAATGACTTCTCTGCTCTTAAATCAGGAAAATTGCACACTCTTTCACAGGTTACAAAGTCGATTTTTCCTTTCATGTTTCTTTCCTGGGATGTTTCTATTCTTTTTAGGGCATTTCTGCGTTCAGAGTATCAGAAAAGAATCTGAGTTGGGGGAACACTTGTGGGAAAAAGTTACACCGCACCAGAGGGGTGTCCCACTTCAGAAGCTCGAGGAGCACCCGCGGTAAGCCTTCACTGCTTACCAAGTCGAAGGTTTTTTTCAGGTCCCCCCAATCCCTTGCGGAACTACCTGTTCTCATTACTGTTTACCCAAACGCTTAGCAAGGTGATATTAGCATATCTGGCAGGAAGGCATGCTTCATTTAACATTAACTCACCATGTGACAGCCCCTTCACCTCCAATCTCTCCTCAAACACGTGAAGATACGAAGAAAAGTATGGTTGTTTGCAGTCTGACTCCGCGCTAGGCTTTGGCACCAGTAATTGGTCACAGGCACACACACCCCCAATCAGAGGCGCGCACCCCGCCCGGTCCCGGAACTGTCAAGCGGGCTGACAGCTGGCACACCATCCGGGGGCCCTCCAACCGCTCGCAGAGAGCCCCCTCCTTAGTCACCTTGACATGGCTCACCTGCCTGGGCCTCCGCTCTGGTCCAAGGAAACTTTTTCCTCCTTCCCAGGAAGGAGCTCAGTTACAGGTATCGCCCGCCGCCCTCCCAGAGCCCCAACAAGGGGCCCTTTGTTACCATTTCTGCTCCCGGACTCCTCGCCCCGTCCCTGGCATCCAGCTGCTCTTCAGCAGCCCCGAGCAGCCCCGGGAGAAAAGCCATGAAAAACTAGCAGGGCCCCCACCCCGGGCGGCCTCCGAGGAGGCCGGAGGAAGCAGCCTCCCCGGCCGCGTGCGTGTTGG